ACTGTGACCTTCAACTGTTCAATGACACTATGGCGGACGACATTAATGTCATCGTGTGAACGAGCTTTACGCCGTCGCAAAACTCGCGACTAATTTTCCAAAACATGCTTTTATAATGTTTTAATTTTTGAAACTCCCATTGCGCAATAAGACATTTACATTGCAGCCGGATTTCGCCGAAACTCACCTGCTGGCTGATAGGCGGCAGCATTGTGCGCATAAGCGAATGACGGCTGGCCCTGATAGATGACGCCTCCATTGGATTGGCCTTGTGGGTACAGCATGTGCATGGGTTGGTTGGCGTAAACTGGCACCATTTCTCCGCCTTGGTGTTGCGCCGCAGCCTGCTGGGCGGGCACGTAGTTGACAACGGCCGGAAAAGGGGCGGGGGCAAATCCTAAACTCGCCAACACTGTGATCAAAAGGGCGAATTTTCAATGAAAACGTTCTACCTTGTTGCTCCTGGGCAGCGTATCGCTGAACAGCCGGTTGGATGGGGGGCTGCGGTGGGGGCGCATTCGGGTAGAAGGTGACAGGCGATTGGTTCCAAAAAGCGCCAGCAGGCTGGCTTGAGTAGCCAATGGGAGGMGGCGCTGCCGCACCAGCCGCTTCAGGTACGAAGTATGTTGTGCTGATTTCCGTCATGCTGGACAAGCCCTGCACAAGTTTTCTGTGCAAGTAACTGAAAAACTGGCTGAAATGCTACCTACCAGCCGAGAGTCGAATTGCTGTGGAACCGGGACTCCGTAGGGAGTGGCAGTGTAGACAATATAAGGCGGCGTATACAAGGGAACATTTCCCTCTGGAGCGGGATTAGATGGAAATTCCGTGAACTGTTGCTGCGGCGCATTGCTGGCGTTATCACAAGGATGAACCGCCTAAAACATTTACGTTTAAATCAGCTTCAGTCACCTGGCGCCCAAAAACCTGTATGTACCTGCACGTATGAGTAGTTTCGACCAACAGAAGCCGACGAGTGTGCTGGAGGAGGAGAAAACGGCAAACTTGGACTGGTGGCCGAGTTGGTGAAGCTCGATTCGGTTCGGGCGTGGCGCTGTGCCTTCACAGGCAAAGATTTCTGAGAAAATAAACAACAAAATCCAGTGCAATTTAGCGACAGAGTCTTCTAAACTCACTTGGTGTTTGGGAGAAGGCATGGGGGTTTTTTCCAGCTGGGGTGTTAAAGCGTCATCGAGCTCCTCCACCTGAGTGCCCACGTGATTAAACATCAGACCTGCAGGTGCGGGTTTTTCAGGATCATAGTAGTAGATGGTGTCGTCGTCGTTTCTATACGGCTTGCCAGTCTGCAAATCTACAAAATAAAATCGATACCTTTGCAAATGCAGTTTTTTACCTCAGGATTGAAGATGATGCTGCCCTTTGGAACGTGGCTCAAGTCGCTCACGGCCCACATAACCGGATTTCCGGCACTTTTGTTCAATTGCTGGTCATCCCCATCGGGGAGTTGCGGTGTCGAAGTGGGGCTGGGCGTGGCCGACTCAGACACCTGCGATTGGGACTTGTATCCAGAACTTGACGGACTCAGACGCCACATTGAACTCGTTCCGGAATCTAAGGAATGAAAACACAGTTTGCGAAGATCAAAAATTTTATTTCAGCAAAATTCCCGTTCGCATTTAGCGGAGAAAGAAGCCGGCAAAAACTTGGATTTTGGTCGATTGTTATGAAACCCTCAATAGAGCCATTGAACATTTCAAATTGCTAATGTATAGCTGAAAGGATAAAAGCATTTTACGTGGTTTCGGCACGACTCGTTTCTAATCCAACTGAAAGTTGGAAAACTTCCATGAATCTTTCTAATGCACTTGAAAACTTAAAGCTCGTTCACACGGTGACATTAATGTCGTGACGTGAATTCCATTAGTGTCACATATCAATATTGTTTGATACTCGCGAGTTCAACTACCGATGGGGGCGCTGCGAAACGTCAAATCACTCGTTGCCGAGTGACAGTTGAAACTTCAGACATACTTGAGTATCTTGAGTCATACTTGACTAAACAAGCGAAAAGTGAGAGTTGCAATTGTAACAAAAATGAATTTGTATATACTTTCCTGACTGTGTTTCAATTTCAAATCAAATTCAGCACTTCTTCGAAGAAATGCATGCCAAGGCTTAAAGCAGCAACAACGCTACACATAAAAACTGATGATGGTGGAAAAATACACCGAAACGTATTTTGATTGATAAATAGAGACAATAAATGACTGAAACCCAGGAACTAATTTGATTTGGAACAAAAATAAATGTGAATGAATTGAAAAAAAAAACAAAAATGAAAAGCTTGCAAAACTTGATTAGAACAAAACAAATCATAATCAGATGTAAACACCAATGGCCACAAAGCAAATATCAAATTACTCGTTGTCGAGTGACAGTTGAGACTTGTTTATTTATTGGAGTTGATGACATTTATAACTTAAAACAATACTTACACACTTTTCGATCTGTTTCTATTTCTTTAAAAGCGTGCAACAGTTGATTAGAACAAAGCAAAACAAATCACAATCAGATATAAACACCAATGTCAACAAAACAAGTGTCAATTTACTGCTTAACTTGTAGTTATAATTTTAACCACTAGGGGGCGTCTGGACTTTTGAATTTTTGGCGCGATATTATCATTTGGTTTGGTTTTAAATCATGTTCCCTCTTGATTTGATTACATTTCTGGAATATTACCAACCACAACCAATCAATTGCCGATTATAAAGGTAGAGAAAAACGTAATTTGTTTCTACAACGTTGTTTCTGCCCCTAATTTGTTTCTACATATAATCGACTATCTCACCCATACTCGATTTTTTACTTTGTGCCTCAATTTGAAAATAATGACTTCTAACACATCCGCTACTGCATGCAGACAGGAGTTCCGTCATTTTGACAGGAGTCTGTGCGACACAATCTGTCGGTGAGTGTGAACGCCTAGTGCCATGACATCGAATGTCGAAAG